AGAAGAAGAAGAAGAAGAAGAAGAAGAAGAAGAAGAAGAAGAAGAAGGCAGGACCCTTTTAAAAGGGAACAGCGAATGGGCACAGGGAGTACTCTTAGTGACTGCAGCTGAGGATGTAACATGTCAGAACTGCAAGGGCAGGTCAGTACAGATGCCTGAATACTAACACATACCAACTACAAAAGTAAAGACCCAAACGTGAATACACGTAACTTCAGCCATTAAATATTTTGACAAAGATACCAAAAACATAAGCTTGAGTTAAGAAAGTATCTTCAATATATGGAGCTGAGAAATTGGATGTCCAAATACAGAAAAATGAAATTAGGCATGTATCTATCACTTTGCACAATAACTCCAAGTGGATCAAAGAGCTACACATGAAACCTGACACACTGAAACTGATAGAAAAAAAAAAGAAAGGCAGTATTCTACAAGATGTAGGTATAGGAAAGAACTTTCTGGATAGGATTTCATTTGTCAAAGAATTAAGGTCAAAAATTGACAAGTAAAACTAAAAGTTTTTTGAAACACAAAAAAACAGGTGAAGAATATGCCTATAAAATGTGAGAATATCTTTGTCAGGTATAAATCTAACAGAGGATTAATACCCAGAATATATAAATAACTCAAAGCAAAGATTAAAATAAATGACCCTCTCAAAAATGTACTTGGTACCATGAAAAGAGAGCTTACAAAAATAAAAACTGTTTAAGAAAAAATATCACCCCTCAAAAAAAAAAAAGTTCACCGGCAGGCAGGGAGATTGCTGACCAGCAAGTGGCACTGATCCTGTAGCAGAAGATACAGTGGAGGGGTAAGTGTGTTCCTGACCCGCCACACAAGCCCGGTAAGGGAACACACAATTTTCCCGCCATCCTAATCTCCCAGGGTATTCCACAGGGGTGGCTTCCCCTAGCTAAACCCTCTCTCCTCCTACCCCATCCCTGCTTTCAGCCAGGAACCCCTTCCCTTCCTCTCTCCCTTTTTTGGGGCATAAAATCCTCCAACTCAGCCTGTGTGGGTGCCGTCGGGACGGGGCGGTAAGTGCAAATGGGAGGGAGTTCCTTTTGTTTTAATAGCCTGCCTGCAGCAAGGTAGGACTGCAGGCAAAGTGATTCCTGGCCAGCAAGGGGCACTAATCCTGTAGCAGAAGAACCAGCAGAGGGAAGAGCCATTGGAGAGCATCTGAAGAAAGAGATGGGCAGGCACCAAGGCAAGAATTCCTCCAACAATCTGAAATACAACATGAAAACACCAGATCCCAACGATCTTACGACAGAAGGACTTGAACACCCTATTCCGGAAGAAGTGGAAAACAGTGTCATTATGAAAGCAATACAGTCTCTTAAACAGGATATGAATAACTCAGTTAAAGAAATAGAGGAGAAATATAACAAAAAGATTGAAGAAATGAGTAAAGAAATGGAAGAGAAATATAACAAAAAGTTTGAAGACATGAGTAAACTCGTAAACGATACCCTGGGAAATCAAGAAAAAACAATCAAACAGGTAATGGAATCAGTTCAAGAATTGAAAACTGAAATGGAGGCAATGAAGAAAACACAAACCGAGGGCCGGCTGGATATGGAAAATCTAGGTAAACAAACAGAGACTTCAGGAACAAGCATAAACAATAGAATACAAGAGATAGAAGAACGAATCTCAGATTATGAAGAAAGCATAGAGAAAATAAACGCTCTGACCAAAGAAAACAGCAAATCCAACAAATTCTCATCACAAAACATGCAGGAAATCTGGGACATAATAAAAAAACAAATCTAAGAATAATAGGGGTAGAAGAAGGAGAAGAACTGCAGATTAAAGGTCCAGAAAATATATTCAACAAAATTATAGAAGAAAACGTTCCCAACCTAAAGAACGATATTCCTATGAAGATTTAAGAAGCATACAGAACACCAAATAGACTGGATCAGAAAAAAAATCCCCTCGCCATACAATAATCAAAACACAAAGCATTTAGAATAAAGTAAGGATATTAAGAGCTGCAAAGGAAAAAGGTCAAGTAACTTATAAAGGTAAACCTATCAGACTTACACCAGACTTCTCTATGGAAACCATGAAAGCCAGAAGGTCCTGGATAGAGGTACTGCAGAAACTAAGAGACCATGGATGCAAGCCCAGACTACTATGCCCAGCCAAGCTATTGTTCACTATCAACGGAGAAAACAAACTATTCCAGGATAAAAACAAATTTAAACAATATGTAGCTACAAATCCAGCCTTACAGAGAATATTAGAAGGATAATCACAACCCAAGGAATCAAGCACTCCCAACACTGCCTATAATAACTCAAACATCTAGCAACCCTTCACAAGCACAACTCAAAGAAGGAAAACACATACACTCTACTACCCCTCCCCCCAAAAAAATGACCGGAGTCAACAACCACTGGTCATTTAAATCACTTAATATCAATGGACTCAATTCACCTATAAAAAGGCACAAACTTAGAGATTGGATACAAAAACAGGATCCAACATTCTGCTGTTTACAAGAAACACACCTCAACCACAAAGACAGACACCTACTCAGAGTAAAGGGTTGGGAAGAGGTTTTCCAAGCAAATGGACCTAAGAAACAAGTGGGTGTGACCATTCGAATAACTAACAAAATCGACTTCAAACAAAAATCAATCAGAAGAGATGGAGATGGGCATTTCATACTCATAACAGGAACAATTCATCAGGAAGAAGTCTCAATCCTGAATATCTATGCCCCTAATATAAAGGCACCCAGATATGTAAAAGAAACTCTTCTAGAACTCAAGGCAGTCATCAAACCACAGACACTAATAGT